AACCGACGTATATATATATATATATATATATATATATATATGTACGTATGCACATTTGTAAATGCAGTAGAAGTCGTCCCTATTTCTGTTTATTTATTTTTAATTTCCTGTTGTCGTGTTTTAGTTCAAGGTGGAAATGTGGTGGCTATATGCGCTGGCTGCCCTGCTCCTTCTGCTTGCGGCGGTGACGTTTGCAATGCGGGCACGGACGCGGGAGTGCAGCAACGATGGGGGCCTGCAACAGACGTGCAGGAGGGGAGTTGCCCCTGCAAACACCACACGGGTTTGCCGTGCGCGGAAGGAGGAGTAGGGATGCGCGGGGTGGAGAGGTGTGGGGGCAGGGCCTGCCCTGACCGACGGCGTGGAAACGGAGCGAAGTGCAGCGGGGAACTACCTTTGACGGACGATCCATTAACAAAGAAAAAGGAAAGGAGTGAAAGCGGTGAGGATAACTAAACGGTTGTGAACAATAAACTTAAAATTGGGGCGGGGGGGGGGCGCTGAGCGTGCGGCACGCCTCGCTGGGGCACATGTTTTTGTTTTTGTGCCCAGTGTGTCTCACGCGGCTTCTCCGCAGCGCCGACTTTCTCTCGTGCTTCGGGCCACACACACACATACATACACGTGTGATGCCCCTTTCTCTTACTTGTCGTTGTTGGTATTGTTGTTTTTGCTCATTTGGCTGTCGTTGTGGCTGCGGGTGGGTGTGTCTGTGGTGGCTCTGTGCGCCGTTTCTCTCTCTCTTGGGAGAAGCTTTCCCCTTGCCTCTGCCATCATTTTTAGCCGCTGTGAGTCACTGTCTTTGCCTTCCACAGCAAGTTGCTTAGCTACGGCAAGCTGCACGTGGCACTGGGGCGCCACGATAGTTAAATAGCCGCAGAGCTCGTAGCGGAGTGGGAAGGGGAGAGGTGTTGTGACTGGGGAGAGGAACCGTCGCATGTCCACAGCAGTCCCTGCAACTCACTACACCATAGATGCCCTCCGCGGTGTCGGTTTACTGCCGGCGCAGTTGGCACTCTCGCGGCAGCCACGACTACGGCCGCATGTTGGGCACTTAAAAGGTCTTGTCTATCCCCTTCCTTACTATGCCATGTGGCGCGGCAACCACAACAAGTACATGTACAACCAAAGCACCGTCTCACGTTGGGGAGAGGGCGAGACGCGGCACATGTACCACCAGCACTATTCACACGCCAAGTGTCCCACTGACTACGGCCGTGGTGGACGGGAGTTTGAGTACTTGTCTGTAAAACGTGGGCGGCTGATAAAGAAACCTCTACCGGAGGTACAATACGTATCGAAGGGATCGAAGCCGACATGGTTATTCAAGTCATGGCACACACCGCTCAGTTCGCCGACGATGTGGGAACGAGAGGTGCAGTACGCAGAACACATCCCGGAGCATCTTGGTGCAAAGCGACCACTGGCTGTCGTGGCACCACGCACGATGCATCGCTACTTGTTCCTCATGCACATGGAGAAGATTACCATCACCGTGTCCCCATACCTCTTTGGGTATGGGCATACCTTGCAGAAGGCAGTGATGGACTTCTATCGGCGCGCCATTAGCGCACGTGCACCGTTTCCGAACGACAAGGTATTTTTGTTTTACTCCATTGACTGCATCACCCCACGCATTGAGGTAGCATGGATCGATGGCAAAACGTATGTGCCACCCTTGCTGGAGGGGGCGAGTTCTCAGGATCTCATTCAGATGGTGATGGAGGAGGCGTGGCTTGCCGCAGACCGCATGGGGGCGGGGGGGCGCGTTCTAAACCCAATAGCAATCGACGACTACAAGTGGGAGCAGCTTGTTGTCTTCAAAAAGGTGCGTGATAAAGAGGCAGCAAAGGGAGGTGGGAAGAAGAAGTAGTCACGAGGAACATCTGCACAAGAAAGAGTGAGAAGGTGGCGGGGCATTATTTGAATATCCTGCTGCTGCATTTGCGTTTTTTTTTGTTTTACTGGCTGATTTCTGCTAGCGATACAGTGGTGGTGGTGGTAAACGTCCTTGGTTCTACTGCCTGTGGCAGGTGCACACGCATGCGTGACGTACCGGGGACCTTTCCTTTTGTTTCTCACGCTTTCGCCTTTGTTTCCCCCACTCTCTCGTTCTGGTTGCATATTTGGGCGGGGCTTGTTGCGGATTGTGCACACGCACACATACGCCCGTCCCCTGCGCATTCACGTCAAGAGCAGCAGCAGCAGAAGCAAGCCAAGGCCAAACCGAGAAGTAAGCAGGGAGAAGAAAAAGGAACGAAGGGAAAGCAAAAAGGACGGGACAAGCGAAACTAATTACGAAGAGAGCGTGACGGAAACAGTGGGCGAAGAAAAGAAGAAGATTTAAGAAAACCGACTAGGACGAGGTAGGGAAGCTTTTACGTCGGGAGAATGGATGTGTTTTGTACAGGTGTTAGCGCTGTATTTAACGGCGTCGGCTCAGACCAGCTACTCCAGCAGCATCAATCACAGCAACAATTAACAGGCGCGGCCGCAGTGGAGACTTCCTCTTTGGCTGCACCAGCGTCATCCCGCAAGTTCGGCGGCGGTCATGTGTCGGCACACACGACGGTTCACATCACTACCTCCACGGAGGTGGACCTGTGCGATGAGCAGCGCATCGACGATATTCGTACGACACTCCGCATGCTGGAGGACATTGGGCATGGGCGTCACCTTATAAATTGGACAGAGTTGGTTGACCCAAGTCAACCAGTGGAATCGGCAAAGAAAATCAGCGCTGCGTTGGCGCGACCTACCACAGTTCCCAGTGCTATCGCCAGCGTCGCGGAGTGCATCACAACACCGGCGCACCTGTCGATTGTAGCCCTGTTAGATCCGCCTTTCTTGGCGAAGGTGCGGTATGCCGTATTGCACGATCTTCTGAACGCCCTGACAATGGCGCATGACCTTGACCCCATGCCCGTTTGTTCTGAAATGCTGGTAGAGATGGCGAAACTTAATCTCGTAGTACTTCGCGGTGTGGCATCGACTCTGGAGGCACTATTGGGTGATCCAGGCAGTCGCCGGGCGGCCATTGCGGCGTTGGGAAAGCTGGCAGATCAGCAACGCGGCAATGAGGTGTTTCTGGGGGCGATACAAAACTTGGAGCCCCTCGTGCGGACGATAGAGGAGCCGGAGTACGTGTACGACTGCCTCACTATTGCGCGTCTCTTAGGATGGGATGGACCTCACAGGGCGGCGTCGCTTGTGCCGGTGAAAAAGATGGAGCAACCTTCCACGGTGGCTTCCATGGTATATTTTCGCCAGCGCGATGAGCTTGTCTCGGGGCGCCGTGATGGAGTAGTCACCATATGGGGGGGGGCACACCCGTCCACGGGGGATATTAAGGCGGCAATGACGATAGATCTTCCACCGCAGTGTGTGCCCGTAGCGATGGACGGTCCACCACGAGGGAACTACCTGGTAATCGCTGGAATGCCATTTCCTGCTGCCAACTTGCAGGCCATGGAAGTTGAGAACGGCAGCATGAGCGCTAACCTCCTTAACAACAGTAGCAGTAAAAAGCGAAACTCACCCGCAGCCGTGACCAAGGGACCTTTTCTACGCTTTCTTACTTGCAATGAGAATACAGGGGTGTGGACAAATGGAGAGACGATATCGCGAAAAGAAAATGTTACACTGACGGCGGTGGCCGCGTTAGGAAGTCTTGTCGTGTGTACCGCAGAAAGCGCCCCTACCGAAAAATTTTCTGAGTCTGGACTGCAGCACGACTTAGTTCTTCTTAACGGCCACACCTCACAACCTTTGCGACGCATTGAAAATGCACATGATGATTGTATCACCGTCATTCGCGCCGCTGAGGATGGTGATCGCATTCTCTTTACAGGCTCACGTGACTCAGTGATCAAAGTGTGGGACACCCGTAGTGGCAGCAATCGTGCCAGTTTAACAAGTACTGCCACGATGGCTGGCCAAGGGACACCGCTGTATCGGCTGAAAGGCAGCCACACAGACACTATTACGTCAATCCTGCTCCACCGCAATGCTCTTTTGACGGCATCCCTAGACGGTTCATTTCTGGTGTGGGATGCACGCCGCATGAATGAGCCGATGCATGAACTGCACCTCAGGGATCCAATCCTTGACCTCGCGCTTTTAGATAGTGGCTACGTTGTCATCTCTACCGCGCGGGGGCTCAACCTCTACTCACTTGATACTCGTAAGACACATGATGTCATTCCTAACGTTGCCTTTACGCAGCTTAAGGCAAACAATGATGGTAGCGTCGTTTTCGCTGCAGGTGGTGGCGGAGTCAGCATGTATGCGCTCCAACGCTAGACTCAAGTTAAAAAGCGGCAGAAACCAAAGCAAATATAAGAAAGATGTTCAAACAGAGACGGAATTCATTGACTTGAGTAATGTTGGCGCCAGACAATCGTGCATAGGAGAGTGTAGGCAGGGGAGGTGGGGGGAAGAGGATGAGGAAACTGCAGGAATGGGTTTAAAAGGTAGGAGTCTGGCGGGCGAGGAGAGCGGGGGTGGTGATGGCATTACGGCAGCTACGATACACCTGAAATCGGGAGAACAAAAAAAAAGATGAAAAATGTTTCTGTCTGTATGTCTGTGCGAACAGATCGAGGTGGTGGGGGGGGAGGAAGGGGAAAGACATCATTTTTGTTTTTAAAAAAAGGAAGGATTAACACCGTGCTGACAGTATATATATATATATATATATATATATATATATATATATATGTAGTGTAG